AGTGTACACTGTACACAACTACGGAGCGAACGCACAAACGGACGCTCATACGCTGGCGCCTTTTTATTTTAGCACATTTTATTGCCTTAATATTTTACGTTTTTTTATGTTTTCGTTTTTTTTTCTTTTTTGCCTTACAATTTTACGTTTGCGACAGCCAATGCAGTAATGCCTACAAAGGATATTAAGTATTTTTACAAGCTGGATTTTTCTTCTAAATGACTCCACTCATGCATTTTTCCCCCCGACACTTTGAATGCAAAAATCACGCCACACACTACGTCCATCGGGTTTAAGTGCTTCTACGCAACTGATTTCGGGCTGCTTAAAGCTGGCATTGAGAGCAGACAAATTTGTTTACTAAAAATAGACTTGCGCTTTGCATTCATTATTAAAGCAAGCACATGTTTTTGTTGTTAGCCCTACACTTAGCGTACATTTGTCGTCGTTGTTGTTGTCGTCATTGTTGCTGTTGTTATTATTATTCTTGTGTTCTTACAGTTCATTGCAGTTCCAATGATTTTGTTGAATATTAAGCATACTTTGAACAAATGCAAATGTGTTTAATTGTTTTTGTTTACAAATGAATGATAAAGCTACAGCATTGTGTTTACCGCACCCGCTACCTCTTCTTACACAGCGTGCACGGCATCTATAATTACTATAAAATTCGCATAAAAGCTTTCTTTGCTTCTTGAAGAGACAAAATATTACATTTATGCCGTTGATGCTTTCTCACACTTCTCCTCTCAGCGAATAACACTTTTCCTTGCTTCATTAAAACGTATGTTTTGTGTTTAGGGTCTTCTGCTCTTTGGGAGCCCTCTTATAAACTCAAAAAAGTAATCTTTCTGAATTTCATTATTATGTTTCCATGGAGGCAACTGTAAAAATGCAATATAAAAAAAAAAAAATAAGTGTAAACAAAATAATTTTATTTTGACATTTGTTATGATTTGTTACACATTTTGGGGAACTTCTAATGTTAAATTCTATGCATTTTGTTTAAAATAAAAATAATTATAATTTTATATACCTATAAGATTTGCTAATGGAAGACAATTTACTAATGCGATTTATTTTCACTGTGATAATGTATAAAAAGTTTTTACGATATATTAAGTACTACTATGGGCGTAACTAGGGTGTTTTGGAGAAGAGGAGTGGTGATAGACTTCAAGAAATCTTTCTTAACAAATATTGAGTAGTGATAAAAAGGTTATAGTGTTGAAATAATTAATATCCATTATTTAAAATGAGTAATAATTCAAGTTGTTTTTTCTAAATTTTTATTTTTAACAATAATAAATTAACTAATAAGCCTGTGGCAACACTATGTTTAAAATTTGATTGGTCTTAAAATAATAATTATTCAAAGTATTCGGGCTATTCTTTTATTAATAAGAGTAAAAATTTATAATTATGTTAAAACACCGTATATATTATATATGATTAGAGGTTTTCCTTGAGTTAAGTAATAGCAAAGATTATTATTGGCAATTCCAATAAACGGAAGTACTGCATTATTGAAGCATAAACTGAATAGAATTAGTCTTCATAACTTTATCTGGTACAAAAACTAGGCCAAGTGTTTGCTATATGTTCAGGTCGTGTAATATTTCGTGCACAGTTCCATACATATTACTTAGAGTAAACCACCCTACTACCAAACAGTAAATGATTTCGGCACCTATTCTATCTGATATAGAATTTGGCGTATTATTTTTGCCTACTTATAATTCGCGTTGGCCTTTTCTGATTATTATAAAAAGGTACTCAATTAGTTTTCCAAGGGATTAAAGCAAAATAAAAAATATTCTTAAGAACTAATTTGCACTTCATAAACTTACTGACAGATATTGTACGTGACTGGTTGGATAGAACACTTAAGTTGTGATTGTGGCGTGTGGCAATAGCAAAAGCTGTCACAAGTTTATTTTTATATAAATTTTATTTCAGATTATGACTGTAATAAGAATTTAACTAATCTTCTGTAACCATACAATTTAAAAGATAAAATACTACAATGTACAAAAGGGTATAAATTATATTTAAATATATATGAAACTGGAGTCCATATGAAAATATTCAAAGGAACTTAACCATTTCAATTTATGTTTGTTTTTAAAGATTTAAATTATCCGAAACAAATTTACCTCATGAATATTTGTATGAACAGTTGTTTTTGTTTATACTTGTGACATCTTTCCACAACCTTCTGTTCACACTGAAGTTTGAAGTGTGCAACACTCTTGACAGCTCTTGATATTCACACATGCCACAGCAATTTTATGTGTAAATTTATGTGCCCGAAAATGTGATACCGCCAGGAAGTCATACTTTGCTGTTATTTTGCAGAGACAATTTAAATATATAGTAACTTTAACAGATTTTACAAATGAATACCAGGTATTAAGAAGCCATGAGTATGGTGTGGTATATATTTGGTCTGAAAGGTTAAAAAAAAATTTTTATTAAACAAATAATTTCAGTTATTACATTATATATTATTAAATATTATATTACATTAAATATAATTATTTATTAATCAAATATTATATATTCATTTTATGCATTCATTTTAAACTACATTATAATATTAGGTGTGAACCCGTACTTTGCAAGATGTGGCTTCAATACTCAAATATTTTACTCCTCATGTTCTTTCAAATGATTTTTGTTATATATGCCTTTTTTATCATATTAAAATTAAAATTAATTTAAAATTAAAATCAATTCAAAAAATCGCATTCAATTTACATAATTAAATAAAATTTATAATATTTTAAATCAAATAAAAATTTAGAAAGTTAACAGATGTTAAAGGTGTCCTTCTTTTTTAGACGTTTGTGCCTTTTGTTCAGTAACAGCTTGTAAGCTGATTGGTTAGGATAATCTTCTAACTTTAAGTGTGGCTGACGGCTATATCGAGCAGCTTCTTCTATTACTGTTGGTACGCTCAAATCTCTATGAAGGTTAGCATTTTTCATAAACCACGGTGCACCTGTTATCATTCTTAGGGTTATAGATTGCAGCCTTTGCAGTTTTTCAATATTTGATAGCATCGCTGTTCCCCACAGTTGAATTCCGTAAATCTATATAGGTTTTATTATCGACTTGTATAGCAGAATTTTGTATTCAAGTGGTAGCTTAGATGACATGCCCATAAGCCAATGCAATGAACTTAGTTTTATATTTATTTGTATCTTTTTAGCCTCTATGTGTTTATTACAGGTTAAACGTATATCTAGATGTATATTTATTACTAATAACATATCAAATATATCATATATTTTTCTTTGAGATTTAGGTCAAGTTAAAGAAAAAAAAAAAAATGATGTAGATTACCCGATTGCTCCAACTTAATTCAGACGTTTATTTAGACACTTAGATGCGATGGAGGCAACCATCAATCAATCGGTGAAGATAAATGAGGCCATTGAACCTAAGGACATTGAGTTGATTCTGCCAAATTAGAATAAAAAGCTTCCTCGTTCAAGCGACAGTAAGCAATAAATCTTTTAAGTTTCTACTGTTGCTATTTTATTTATATTTTGTTAAAAAAATTAAATTTATTTTTAATGATTTTCAGCAAACCTAGTTGAAGCTGAGCTCTTTCAAACCCTTAAATTATTCATAATATAACACATTTTTCACTACCAAGTTTCATAATATGCATTTAAAAAACACAAATGGTCAAAAACCTCATTATTCATGTACCATAATATGTTTTACATATAAAATATAAATAAATAAGCTCTTTCACATGCATAAATCAGCTTATGCCTATGAAAACGACCAAATCCTAATTTCATTAACATAAGTAGTTTCAGTCGTAGTGGAAACATGACAAACGATCAAATTCGATTATAAAAATTCTTTTGCATGGTGGCAACCCTATGTATTGAAGTTTATTAAAAATTATATAGATATACAATGTTTCGTCTCTTTATATACAGATTACATAGTATAATGAAATCCAGCAGATCAAAAAAATACTTCAGTAAAAATGGCAATCCTAAATACTGATTGTAGCTTTATAAAGAGATAATGTACGAGTATCATATATATAATGTAAATCTTTATAATCGATAAAAATGCTAAAGTGAAAATAATAAAAGCTTATAAATGAGTTTTTATTTCTGTTTTTATTATTACATAGTATAGAATAGAAAAAGTAGAATAGGAAAAAATTATTCGGTATTTCCGAATATTTATGCTTTTTCGAATAACTTTTCCAGTTTTTTTCTAATCCGAATATTAATAAGTAATATTTTTTAAAAAATGGACTTATTAATACAAAAAAAAATAATTATTATTATATTCATTAAGCATATATTCCCGATTTTTGAAGTTACTATAAAAATATATAATCAACAATATGTAAAAGAAAAAAAACATATAAGAAAAGTATCTGAATACAATATATATATATGAATAAAATAAAATGTTGATGTTAAAATTAAATCAAATAAACAAATAAGTTTATATTTATTTGTATTATTAATTTATATTAGTAAAATAAAATTTTAATGTCAGAAATAAAATCAAATTAACAAATAAGTATACATTTATTTGTATTTTTTTTGTTTTTTTAATGACATTACATCACATAATACTACTATTAATTTAATAATAATATAGAATTATAAAATATATGTAATGTATAATATATATAATAAAATATATATACATATATGTTATATATTATATTTAATTTATAATATATACATTATTACAAGAGGCGGTATGCCACACTATTGATTAGATTTAATAAAAGATATCTACCGATCCTTTAACTTGATTTTTATTACATCAGCATGTTACTCCTCCTATAAAAAAAAATGAGAAGAGAGGAGACCGTCGTGAACTTCACTCAATTTTCAAATAGAAAAAACATTACAGCTCAATTCAAGCTTTCCCAAATTCTTCTGATTAGCGCGAGTCAGTTTAGATCAGTTCGTCTGTGAAAGTGGAGGTGTAGTTCTTTTCTTTGAATTATAAGAAGCACCGTTAAATTACCTTTCTTTAATATCTAATAAAATTTAGTATTTAGTGATATCAAGTGCTTCATTTTTTTTTTTAATAATTTAAAGTGATATTAATTTTTGTTTTTTATTTATAAAATCCAAGAACTAAAAGATTAAATAACTGAAAATATTGCTATTTGTAAGATTGCAAAGAAGTGTCTAAACAAACCAGAAAATTAGACAGGTAAGGAATTATACTAGAAATGTAAAGTTTAGAATTGAAATGTAAGTTTATTAAAAAAAAGTGAATCATGCCAACAAAAAATGAAACTATTTCATTTCAATAAAAACAGCGGGCCGTTATCAGCGAAGTGCCGGCTTCAGAGAACTGTTAGACACGATCTCACCCGCTGTCTACAGAGTTCAATGTCGAAGAGTCTACAATAAGTTTTTTTAGTTTTTGTAGTTCTCGTCGTTACCGATGGCTTTAACTGTACACTCGAACGGAATTCAGTTACTTTAATATATAATTAAATAAAAATTATTTTCAGTGCGAAAATCATTTTTCATTTAAGAATTTTTTCTTAATTTTATTTTAAAATTAAATACGATTTTTCCGCTTTCCAGAGTTGTTGTCTCAATGCAGCGGCGCCGCCCGGTAGCGCCATGCCGTGCTCAAGGTGTGCGGCGGAAACTTGAACGGCATTTTTTAATTAATTTTGATTTTGGATTGGATTGGATTCTTGAGTTTTTGTTCATTTTGAATTATTATTAAAATAAATATGCGAATGGAATCAAGTCTTAATTTCTTTGTGCTCGATACACTTTGATCTCTGTGACAATTGATAATTTCTTTTTAATAATTTTTGCTTGTTTTGTGTGCAATGAAATAAGTGCTAAATATAAAATTAAAATTTATTGCATTTTGCAAAACAAACATATTTTTTGCTTTTATGTTTTTGTACGGTTCTGCCTCAATTTAGAAGCCATCTTGTTCTTCACAACGATGCATGTATGACGTACGTATGTAAAGACCGAGATCCATACGTGCAGATAATTCAACGTATATATCACAAAATGAAAAATTTCAGTGGGCAAAAAATTTAGTCCAAAACTTCGGAGCCTTTAAGGATCCATGATATTACTGCAAACTGCTTGCCATGGGGGAAAATACCCCGTCTTTCATGCCTACTGCACGAGCTATAGTCCTAATGTACTAAACTAACGCTCCTTGATGGATGCATTGATGCCATTTATGATCATGATATTTCCTAATGTTCTTAATAATTATGGACAAGGAAACCTGTGCAGTTGAGTACACTTATTTTTTGTTTTTGATTATATTTTAGACTTCCTTCTAAACTAATTAATATATTGACGCATATTTTCACAATCTCATAATCTACTATATGTGTAATGTACGTGACAGCCCTAACCTATGTCTTAAATAAAACCTTTGATGTATGCTTTAACTTCTTTTCTCGTCAACTTCAAAAAGACAGTTTTTCTTCTTAAGTTTAATAGTCTTGGATCTTAATATATATATATGTAACCAGTTCCTTTGAAAACTAAGCTGTTGCAGAGTATGTATATATGAACAGTCGTTTTGTCAACATATCTGAAATATGGGGCGAATAAGATTTTTTTATGGTTCCCTTCTTTAAATACTGCATTGCCAGTATTATATCCGTTGCCTCTAAAAGGTGAGTAGTTCCTACCATAGAAATTTAAAGAAATCTTGACTAATATCATAATGTTCGCATTTCTCATGAAATCAGACAATATCATTGGTTATGGTAAGAACTACTCAATACTTTTACACATCATCTTCAGTCATCTTCATATTTATGGTTTCATAAATATTCTTCACGCAGCGGCATCTATAAGTGAATAATGGTAGGTGAATGGAGTATCTTTGTCTACTTACTAACAAAATTTCACCGAACTTATTTGTTACTTAACTATGACTTGAGATCTTGTGTAATGTCGTTTTGTATGCATCGTTTAAAAGACCAATATGAAACAGAGAGAGAGAGAGGGTATGAAATATAATACTATATTCCGTAAATTTAGTAAAAACAACGACATATTGAAAAATATGTACAGGTAGCAATGCATGTCACACATATATATTTTGCCTTGGTTTGGACGACGGTCATAATGGGCACGAAGTTAAAGGTAACAACCGATATTTAACTCGAAAGACTATTCACAACATTCCAAAACATTCTTGGAATTTTGTCGTAAAGAAAACTGAAAGCACGAGAAGCATGCTTCATTTAATTTTGGACGAAGATTTGAGCCAATGGAAGATTTGTCAGTGCTTCATAACATACACTCTGATAAACTATCAAAAAGATAAGGGCAATTAGTATCATGAAAATGTATGAAGAAGGAATTCGTCAACCGGGTCAACCATTGTAACTGGCAATAAAACGTGGTGTTTTTAATACGATCTGAAAACAAAACTTTCTATCCACCAAAAGACCCAAAAAAGAAAAATTCAAATTCAGAGCCAGTAAAATTAAAAGAATTGTGAGAATATTTTCCAATCTAAATCGAATGGTGTATTCGTCTCAGAAGGTAAAATGGCTGTGGTGTTAATAAAATATTGACAAGTGGAGGGACATATTTGAAAATATTTTTTCTTGAACGCTTTTTAATTATAATAAGAGCTTGTAGCAGTCTTATTATGAAAATACTAGTTGTTGATTGTTGATATGCAGATGTCTGAGTTGACCTTAACTCTATTATATCTGTTTTAAGTCACACTAAGAATATCTGAATACGGGGCTTTATAATGTGATGGATCTGATGTCTTTGTATCTGCCTATGTTTATCAGATTTCGCTGTATTTTTAATTTGCTGAGTGTTGGATTATTGTGATTGTCAATTATATTGAACAGTTCCAGTGCACGATCTTTAATATATTTTTCGACTGAATCGACTCTCAGATCTCTGTGGATATCCGCTCCTCTTACGTACCATGGGGCGTTAATTAGTTTTCTTAAGGTGATATTTTACCAGTATATATATAAATACAGATATATATACATACAAGATAGCATTTTTACTGGTTTTATTTTTAAAAGTATAATTCACATATACGCTTTAATCAAAGAATAAAGGGGAAATATAACCGGGAATACATAATTGCAAGAGAATTAATAAAAATATAAGCTTGGAGCTCTACAATGATTGTAGGCCAGAGTTCTTGATATTTCAGATGAAATGTTAGAGAAAGAGAGAAAGCTAGCCAGTTAGTTTCCTTATCCTCGTAATAAGTAATTATGGTGCGGAAACAAAAAGTATTTCATTTTAATACGAATTGATTGGAAGCCATGCGACATCTGACCTTTCCCTAAACTGAATTTGAGGATGAAAGAAAATTATTTTGATATCATACCGGTCATCCAAATGACCGACTAAGATTTTAAATGCACTGATTGACTATAAAAAATACTTCGAAAAATTCCTCAATATTGTTATGTTGAATCTGGATCTACTTGTGTAGTTCTTTTTAGAGGTGGTAGTTGCTTTTGGGGGTGGTCTTCGAAATTCATGAATTGCTACCAGAAGTAGACCCGACCGTTCTTGGAACTCTTTAAAATTCCACAATCCTCTCGAGTTTTCAGTTTCACTGCGTGGAATCCTATTCAGACTAATCAGAATAAATCAGAATAAAAAAATTAAAATAAAAACCTTGTATATATCTCATTGGATATACGACACCCATACACTCTGAGTATACGACACCCATAATTTGAGTAAAAATATCTTTCAAACTTTCATGGCTCTGGTTAATGTGAGCCTAACATATTAGATAATATATATTAAAAAATAATTGTTTAATATAAAACGAAATTATGAGCATCTGATTTTTTAAAGATATAGTATAATGAAAACATTGATATTTAAAAAAACAGAAAACAGTTTTTGAAACCAAGTTTGCCTTTAAAAATGTTGTAGCAGTGACTAGTTATGTTCTGTTATGAGTTCTTGAATTAGTTTTTATATATAAGATTATAAATTTTGTTTTTCAAAATAATTAAATTTAGAAAGTTTTTTTAAAAACAAAAAAAATATGAATTACGTAATAGTTACCTTAGGACCCGATTTGATATTTTTAAAAATAGGTCAAAAATCACTAAAATAAATTTCCAACAAATTGTCTTATAATCACAACAACAACTACAAAAAGTTCTGTTCAAAGTATAGTTTCCGATTCACTTAAGATTAGAATAGTTGAGTACAGGTTCTGGTAATGTGTCATGAAAAAAATGTTCTCAATAATTTAATTATATTTTGCTAGACATTTCAAAATAGTATTTTGTTCACATGTATAAATTGTATAATATCAATACTATATATTTATATATATACCTCTATATATACAGTATATATTAGTTTGTATATTTGAATCGAAGCTGATAAGACTAAGAAATTTAGAAAAAAAATTGCAAATATATGCAATTCAGGATTTTAGCAGACTCACTGATATTCCACTTGTTTTATATTCAAGGTAACTTATAGCTAAACAGCTTTGGGTAAATATGGTTAATGATCCTAAAATGGATAGAAATAAGAAAACACACGCCCAGACAAACCAAGGACAATCCGATGAAGATCGGGTGGAAGAAATTGAAATCATAACTCGCCACGGCATCTACAATAAGGTCTACGAAATGGCAGAGAAGTTTGCATCAACTTACGTGGGTCAGTTCGCCATTGATCGTGGCGATCGGTTATTAAAGACGGTGGAAGAAACTGCAAAGTGGAGTTTGCCACATAGTAAGGTGTATTTGGATATTTTCTATTTTTATAAATTAATTTGCATTTTATTTTTATTTTAGACAAATCTGATGCAAAACTTGAGCGTCCTTTGTCATGGTTTCCTTTCTTGTCACTTATAATCACTCTGCGTTTGACACGCATGTGGCTATCGATAGCAGCTTTAATGATTGGAAATTCTCCAGTGACACCGCAAAACATGGTTTACTTTATACAAACAAGACGTCGCAAGTTGAGGGCTATTCGCATGCATGGCATAAAAGCGATACGTAAGCGGGAAATGGAGGCAAATGCTATGAAGTCGGGTCAAGGAAGAAGAGGCATCATGTTTAAGCTGAGAAATTTATTATCTAGCGCTATTTGCCGTCCAGGGCAGCATAACGAGCGTGCCAGACGTATTTATGTGCAGTATGGCAGGAAGAATTCGGTAGAAGATGTGAGTTTTGAATACTATTTATAGTCACATAATTATATTAATGGTAATTCCATGACTTTTTACAGTCCAAACCTGAAACGCAACAAGCCGTGAAACGTCCTAGAGAGGAATGCAATGAACAAAACGAAGAAAAACCCGAACTAAATCTTACTTGCAGTGAGTTACTCGATAAATATGCGAATGAAAATTCGGATGATGATTCAGACTTTATTCCAAATCCAAACGAGGATGCGGATGACTCAACTTCTAGTAGCGCGGAAGGCACATCAGGTGAAACTGAAGTTGAATCGAATGCGGTAATTTTGGAATAAATATTTTTTTATGTTTCCCAATTAACATCTTAACTCAAGTAGGATCAACATACTAATGGAAACTCGAAGAACATAGAAACCGAAAAGAATGAGGGTGACAACTTAAATATAGAATTTTTGCAAAACGGTGCAAAAGAACATGATATGCCAAAGCCCATAATTGATATAAAGAGCGAGCCTCACTCAGAAGGCGATCAAGTGATTACACAGAAGGAAGCGAATGGACCCAGTAATGGCGAGGAAAAACAGGATGTGGATGTCGGTAATGGATATTGATTTAGTCTATATTTAACTTAAGTACACAATTGAATACGAATTAGAGCGAATAAGTTGAATTTAAATTTTTATTTAAGTACGGAATCGAATTTGAATAAGAAAACTTAAACCAAATGAAAAATCTTTTCTTTTTTATGTCGCACACTGCAAACCGTTAACAAAATTCAAAATTACCGATTTAAAATTTTGGCATTCTTTTACATTTTGAATATGTATTTTTAATTGCGATCTCTCAACAGTTAAGAAAGTAAATATTGCCATTAATAATAATAAAATTTTGCAATTGTCATCCAACTCTAAACACCACCAACGCGAACCTGAAAGTGCCGATGTAGCGCACACG